CCCGGGGCTGGACGCGCTCGCCCCGCCGCCGGCTGGCCGGCCGCACCTTTCGCTGCGCTGCACAGTGCCTGCCGGCCGGTGCGGGGCTCCCCGGGCTGCCCGGGCTGCCTGCCGACGCTGATCCCTTGACCTGGTGAAAGGACTTGTAAGCGTGGCCCAATTACACGGAATGGCACGCCGTGCCGCGGCCGCGCCACTGCAGAGGCTGAGGAGGAGGGAGGGCCTGGTCAGTATCTCCCAGCGCGCCCCGCCCGCCCCGCCCCGCCCGCCACGCCCCGCCCGATTGACCACTGACCTTCCCTTCCGTGCTGCCGCTGCCGGCCGGCCCCTGCTGGACTAATTGCAAGCCACGCCAGGCAATCGCACGGCAATCAGCGCGGGGCTCACGAATCTCTGTCCAATCGGCCTAATACGACTCCACTCTGCCCCCCCCCCTCCCCTCTTCTCTCCTTCCCTTTGCCGGCCGCTACTGCTCGAGATTTCAAACGGTTCCCGTTGTACGTAGAGGGCGACCCCCTGCCGGCCGCGCGCCCGCTTGCAGCAGTGGTGGTGTGTGTTCCCACAGCGGTGCGTGCTGCGGAGCAGCCCGAGCAAGTGCGTAATGATGTCCGAATCGCATGATGTTGCTGCTGCTGCTGCGAACGATGATGGCTTATCGCGCTCGAGGAGGGACGGACGGCCGGGTGCCCGGGTTCGTTTCCCCCTCTTTGCTGCTTAGTTATTTTTTTTCATCTTTATTTTTCGGGACCGCCTGCTGGGCTGGCTGGGCGGTGCGCGCGGAGAAAGAGAAGGGAGTGTGATTAATTTGCATGTTTCTGGGATGTGCCGGTTAGTAGTGTTGCCGGGGCCACCGCGTCGAGCCGCCGGTCCGGTTCCGACCGAACTGGGCGCCGCCGCCGGTGGAGCCCCGTGCAGGTAGGCAGTCCCGTTGGGCGGGCGGGCCGCGCGGGCCTGCCTACCCTGCCCCTGCCGGCCCCACTGCTATACCGGACGAGCTCGGGAAGATTGAAAATTTTAATTTTCCGGAAAAGTACTCGCAGGGATTTTTGGTTTCTTATCTCTTACTTCTTTTATGAAAAGTTATATTTTTTCCAATTTGTCTGGAAACATTTTGAAATTTGTCCAATTTTTTCTCTGAAAGAAATATGGATTTTTAAAATTCCCTCGGGTAGGATGCGGCTGTCGCGGTCCCGGTCCCGGGCGGAGATGCCCGCCCCCTTCGGTGATGTGATGAGCCGTTAATCTGCCGCGGCTGTAGGGCATAGTAGTGCCGGCCGGACGGGCCTAAACGCGCGGGTCTTTAGCACTTGACTCCCCTGGGAACGGCTCTGTTCGGCCCGAGCTTGGCGGAGCATCAGCCACCGCGGCGGCTCGGGCTCTCTGCTGCTCGGCTCTGCTCGGCGCTCTCACGCCCTGCCACGCCGCCGCCGCCGCTCACAATGGGCAGCTCTCTTAAACCTCTCGTTCGCCGTGATGGCCAAGGTCCATCCTCTTCACACACTTAATCAGGAACCAACTCGGTAGCGGCTCCTCCTCACCATCCGCCACCGCTTGCTTCTTCTTGATTCGAAAATTGTAGTTGTGAGCGCGCGCGGTGGCGGCGGCGGCTGTTGCTGCTGCTGCTTTCTCCTCCTCCATCCTCCCCGTCCTCATCCTGATCGGCGCGTCAGTTCGCCCGCGGTTTTAATCTCTAGTTTATAGAGTGGCGGATCCCGTTGCTCGGCGCCGTGCTCCGCCCTGCTCCTCCGCTGTGCGGCGCGCGTCTTCCAATAACCTCTCCTGCCCCCAGGGACGCCCAGTTTAACTAGAAGTTTAACGAGAAGCCGGTCGCTCTGTCTCTCTCTCTCTCTTGCTTGTCTCTCCCCCCCCCCCCCCCCCCCCACCTCTCTACCTCGTCAGACGAGAACCGCATGGGAAAATATATCTTCTTGTAAAATGGGAAGGAGTTATTGAGGACAAATTCCTAAATGAAATTTTGTGTGGCCGGAGACACGCGGGCTCTGATCGTGAGACCCCGGGTGCCGGTTTGCAAGCGCGGCAAGCGCCAGGGATGGCCGACTGAGACTCGCGCGACACCTTTTCTCTGAAGCCCTGCTCTCTCGCAGATCAATAACATCATCAGCTCGCCCTGCTTGTCGAGTGGCGCTGCTGCCGCGCGCTGCCGCCGGTGGGCGGCCTTGGTCGGCGCAGAGACACACTTTGCGCGCAGAGTGTCCTGCCTTGCTCGCTCGCGGCTGCGATAAAGCTGGTCATTGTGCTGTTGCAGGAGCGCTTGACGTGTTCACCGTGAAGATTGTGCCAAAGGCGAGGCCGCTGGCGCCGCTAAGCAAGCGGACCGCCCCACGGCCCACGCCCGCCCAGCCCTTCGAGCAGACCTTCAGGCTGCAGGTGAGCGCCGACGACGCTGAGGAGAGGAGGAGGAGGGTGGCTGTGGCTACTGGCAGGAGTCTTGGGTGTGCCGACGACGACGACGCTGACCCTCTCGCTCCCATCGCTGCCCCTCAGGTGCACCTGCCGCGGAACCAGCTGTACGTGACGCGGGCCAGCCGGGCGACGGTGCTGGGCGACATCCGCCACCTGGCCTGCACCGAGAAGAACCTGGACCCCCTCAAGTACGAGCTACGTCACCCGGGTAAGCATCGCACCACGCGGCACACGGACGCCCCATCATGTCACCTCCTTTAAAAGAGCGGCTCCTGGCGTGCCTCGCCTATCTTATCATCAGGCGTTATCAGGAGCGGCGGCCGCCACCGGGAATGCGATCGCGCCGCGGCCGCGCCAGTGACTCGCGAATAGTGCATGCGCCAGGACGGCGACGACGTCGGCGCCTTGTCGTGCCCCGTGATTTACTCTGACTTTGGCGTGTGTGTGTGTGTGTGTGTGTGTGTGTAGGGTTGGAAATTTCCAGAAAATTTCCGGAGTCTAGGGAATTTTCCGAAATTTTTCCGGTAATTTTCCGAAAAATTTTTAGGACTTCCAACCGTATGTGTGTGTGTTCTTACTATTGTGGTTTTGACGCAGCCAACCCGGACCAGCGTCTCGACCCGGACTCGACGCTCGGCGAGTGCGGCCTGACTGAGGTGGCCCTGGTGGCCGCCGGCGGCAGACTCGGCCTGGGGCTCAGCCAGCCCTTGCCGGACATCATGGCCCTCAGGAGGCAGGAGGACAGGCGCAGGGAGGCCGCCAAGGCGGGTCAGTTCGGCTACCTCACATCGCATTCGGTGAGTACGAGGAGTACAAAGGAGGGCGTGTGCCGCGTCACGGCTCGGTGTTTCCTCTATCGATCGGACGAGGCATTTACGAGAGGATTACCCACCCGCGCGATGCCGCAGTTGATCTTCCCTCCGCCCACTCAAGGATTTGATTGATTATCGCTGGTTGTTTTCCGCGCGCAGATGGCGGAGGGCAGCGTGAGCAGCGCGAGCAGCGGCAGCCTGGGCGGCCGCTCCACCTCGCCGGCGCCGTCGGACGGCGAGCGGTCCACGTCGCCGCCGGCCATCCAGCCGCTGCAGCAGCTGCAGCCCCCCAGCCGGCCGGGGCGCAAGCGCAGGCCCGCCCCCAAGCCGCCCGTCGGCGCGCCGCCCCCTGCCGCCGCCGCCAACAACAACACCACCACGACGGTATGTCTCTGTTCCACAGCATGTGACCTTTTTCATCCGCGTAGTAACATGAAGTGATTGTCGGGCGACAGTTTCATGTTACCATTATGTACGTCGTATAACTAACTGATTTATGTCGCCTGCAGGAGATGAACAACAACATCAACAAGGAGGTGATCGCGTCGGGCGGCACCGTCATCTCGCACTCGCGCAACAGCTCGGACAGCAGCGGCTACCACGAGGCCTCGGTGCTGAGCGAGAGCCCCGAGGGGCAGCACGACGGCCTGCAGGGGCTGCGCCAGCACCAGCACCAGGGCGGCGGCGGCGGCGGTGGCGGCGCCAAGCTGCAGTCGTGCGTCTCGCAGCCCAACCTCAACAGCCTGAGCCTGTCGCGCTCCATGACCAACCTGAGCGTCCAGCAGCAGCAGCTGTGCGTGCGCGGCAACCGCAACCGCAACAGCATTGCCGTGACGGGCCAGCTCGACCACGACGCGCACGACGGCATGGGGCGCGTGCCGGGCGCGTACCGCGCCTGCACCAGCTCGCTGGCCACGGCGGGTACGTCACTGCGCCACCTGCGCTCACGGGCTTATCGGGCCGCGGCAGTGTACTTGCAGTACTTGCACTAAGGACCGAGGGGTACCTCACTATAACTTCAATCGTTCACCATTTTTAGCAGATGATACCTTGAAACACTTTATACTTAACATTAAAATACATTAGTAATATCAAGGTGTCAGCAGCTTTAACTCTCCATAGTGGAAGAGAGGTAAAAGAGAATCAAGCGGAGACCAGAAAAACAATTTATTTGGCGCTGGCGGGACCGTGTCCGGGTGAGTGTCGCGCCAGCCCCCTCCCCTTACCCAGCCTAACAATACGGGCTCTGGCGGGACCGTGTCCGAGTGAGTGTCGCGCCAGGCCCCTCCTCTTACCCTCCAACCCTGCCTAACAATACTGAGGCTCCCGCGGCTTCGCTTCCGCTAAATTACGTCAGTTTTACTACTTATACTCATTACTTTCATGGATTTCAATCAATTGCATTTTGTCTGTCAAGTGTGCGACTCTAATAAGATTTGCTTATGTTACGAATCTTTGTTTTCCTAATTATTACACTATTCAGGCGTACAGACACATGTACCCTACACTACCATAAGTCTTTATAATAATCACTGTCAAAGAAACAAGTAAGACATCAAAAAATTATGCAAAACCACTAGAAATAAAAACCATTCTATGAATATTAAAGCACAGGTTTACTATGGTATTAAATTGGTATCATCTGCTTTCAAGATAGATTCTTGATTTAGATTTTTTCTGTTTTTCCTTTATTTTTTCCCCTAATTTTTATTGTTTTTTTCCCGATCTTCATTGATTTTCTTTTCCGATTTTTTCATTGATTTTTCTTTATTGATTTTCCTACATGTTTTTCTGATTTGGGGGGGAAGGGCATACACTGATGTTTTTGAGTAAGGTGCCCCTCGATCTACACTGCGTCGTGATGTCGTGGCGGCTAAACGAAACCATGTCTTGTTGCAGGCCAGAGGAAGAAGAAGGCTCCTCCGCCACCCCCGCCGGCCGCCCCCGCTGCCCCCAAGCCCCGCCCCGCAGCTGATGGCTCTTCTGCACCCGCCACACCCGCTGCACCCGCCGCCCCCGCGGACCCGTTCCTCAAGACCCAGTCGCTGGAGCGGCAGACCTCCGTGGTCGAGTCCCCCGATGTGGCCCCGCAGCTGCGACCCGGGCTCACCAAGTCCAGCACGCTCCCCAGCTCCTTGTCGTCCGCCACCTCCCCGGTCGCCGCCACCGCTGACGCTTTCCCTCCCGTAGGCTCGCTGAGCTCGGCCTCCGCCACTGGCTCCAGTAGCAGCTGCCCCACCCCCACCCCATCCGAGCAGTCGGTGCACTTGTCAGGTAAGCCCTCGCCCACGGACCCGCGCCGCGGCACCCTGGCTCGCGACAGCAGCAGCAGTAGCAGCTGCAGTAGCGGCAGCATTGGCAGCCCCAATATTTCGGCCGCCAGGGGCAGGTTCATGAAGACGATGGTGGTGGCCGACGGCGAGAACGGGGCCGGTGCCGCCCCGGCGCGCCCGTCATGCCTCTCGCTGAGGAAGCCGATCCACGGCAAGGGCAGGGTGCTGCGGGGACCCCGGCCCGGGACTTTGGAGGGGAGTCCCCCCGCCGTCCCGCCGGCCACGGCGGCCGAGCCCCCCGAGAAGCTCGAGGGAAGCCCCAGCCCCGCCTCGAGCCCCGCGCCAGCTCTGCCTTCGCCCCAGATCTGTCTCCTTGAACCTCCCCCTCCCGATATCATGAGTGTGTCGAGGAGAGAGTCGAGTGACTCCTGGCACAACTTTTTGGTAGAGTTGAACCGCATTCTGCAAGACAGAGTTGGCGAGTACGTGTAGCGTGAGCTGCTGCTGCTGTTGTTGCTGTCACCCCACTAGTTGTGTAATGAGGCTTTTATACAGACGCGCATTTGCCCGTTATCGGATGTTCTTAGTTCATCTTTTTAATGCTACTTACAGTTTTAGAGTGGTTGAGGGGTATTTTTGGCATTTGACAGACTGTCACCAAGCAGTGTAAATATTGTAAATACTTGAACAGTCTGTACCATTTCTTTTTTCCTTGACATTTTCTCTCTTCTATTTCTGTTCTGGACTGGTGTATGGTTTCTTTAAAATTGGCAAACCATTGTTAACAGAGAAATTGTGAATAGATATTCCCATTTCCATTAGAATTCTTCTCTTGCTCTCCATTATTTATAATTTTAGTGTAATATTAAGTCTTAACACTCTCTAACGTGAGAAATTAGCTCGTATTTCTCTGAGTAGAACTACACCGGCACACCCGCCCAGTATGTCGCTGCTTGTGAGTTTGTTGCATGACATTGTATTTGGTTGTGGCTTCACAGAGAACACCCCTCCCAAGGTCGCCCCTCGCCCTGCACAGCGCACACCACCGTGTATTCCAGCCCCTGCTCCGAGACCCCGCGCGCGCAAACCGATTGCCCCGACACCCGCTGCGAGCCCTACGAGGCCAGCGCCTCCGTGTCCGCCAGCAGAGCACCCCGCCGTCGCACCACCCCAGTCGACTGGCACCGGCTCACCGACTCGGTCACCATCACCACTAGATGACACGGACAGCGTGCCGGAAGCCAGCTCGTCGGTGTCTGATGATCAGTCACACAATCGGGATGCCTCGGAGGGTGAAGGGATTGTACAGCCCGAACTAGTTGCTGATGCAAATAGTTTAGAGGTGGAGGCTCCTACGTCTGCTGTGAGAGATGTGGTCCCAGACAAAGAACAGCAGACAACATTTGTTGATGGTGAAGGTGCCTTCTTTACTTTATTTTATTGCTGATTTAAGTTGCTTGCACTTTCCTATCTCTAGCACTAGAGTGAGGAATTACTTTAAATTCTGGCAGTTTTTTGGTTGCATGATATGGTTGTGCTTATGGTGCTGGTAAATTTTATTTGGGTAGCATCTATAGTCCTATTTTCAGAAAATTATGCATACTAATAACCTTACAGCCATTAAATGACATTCCCTAAATGCTTTCATTGCAGATGCTGACAGTGATCTAGGCACTGCTGAAGACTTATCCCCCCCACGAAGTGATTTCCATGATGATGAGAGTTCACTAGAACAGAATATGCAAGTTAATGATGATAAAGTAGACAAAGAGAGTGAAAGGGACTCTCCCGTTGAAAAGTGCCAGACAGTTGTCGTATCAGAAGAGATCACAGAACTGAGAGATGTAACTAAAGAATCAATAGAAAAACTAGATTGCAAACAGGTTTGTTGCTTTAAAATGAATTCTCTCAGACATCAACAGAATTTAAATTCTATTGAAATGAAATTGAAATGTTAATCTGTATATATTTGTTTCAGCTTGAGAGCCCTTCTGCCACGTCACAATCACAAGGAATTTCAGAAGAGGAGTGGGAGTACAGACTTCCATCGCCTCCATCAGCATTTAGAGATTCTCGTTCCCACTCTCCCACTGTCACTGATGTTGATTCTGTAAATCTTGCAGAGACCAACCTTAGTAGCTCTGCTAGTTTACCTGGATGGGAAGAAAAGATAGAAAATAAGTCATGTGAAAAGAAGGAGTCAGTTGTCCTCACTGGACATGATGAGCCAGAATGTGATGAAGTTAAAACACAACCACCCAGTGAAGCAGTACCTTCTGATACTAGTATAGATATTAATATGGATCACAAGAAGGAGGAAGTATCTGAACCTGAAGTACCCACCTCTTCCTGCTCACCAGCCAACACTCCAACGAATGAAACTGTGATAAACACAGCACAGCCTGTGATTCATTCAATGAATGTGCCAAATGAATCTAAGAAGAACAAGTTAGAGGGTTCTGCCGCTGTTTTAGATGAGCTTAATAAAGTGTTATCCGAACAGCGCAGTAGCATTCTGTCCACGCAGCAATCTGTGCCAAGTCATTTGGAACTGACTCAGCAATCAGGACACCAACCAGCACCGATTGAAAATTTCTCCATGGCAGTTTATTCAAGGCCTACTTCAGCTGAGGGTATGCCTCCTCCTGAAGTCAGACCCTCACTTGTTTTAGCTAGAAGATCTTCGTTCAGTAATAGCAATGGAAGCCTGAATACGATACCAAGACCAATTGGATCAGGAGTGCGAAGAACAACTTCTCATGCCACATTAGTTGGAGGAAGACGGGAAGTCAATGGAGTTAGTGACCATTCCCCATCTGTAGGTAATTTAAGGTCAACTGAAGAAAATAGGAAAACTGCTACAGCTAGCCATAGACAAGAAAATCAATCCCTTGGGAGAGCTGTTAGCGAACTGAATCTTTGTGCAGGTAAGTTTAGGATTTTTATCATTACCGTGATTTACTGTATAGTGTTGATTTTTATATGTCTGCTTTACAAACACTGTTTTATGTTTTCAGGTTTTCCATTGTCTCCTTTAGAACCAGAACTGTTAAAGGAGTTCATGGAATGGAGACAGCAAAGGCAAAAAGATCAAGAAGAAAAAGAAAAACAGCAAAAGGTCAACCCTTCCCCAGATTTACAGTCACCTCAGGTATTATTGAATTTTATCAAACCATCTATTGCTATTCATTGATTGAAAATTTTATTTTATTCTATTTTGATTTTATTTTTCCTGCAGATGCTTCGTAACATCATGAGCCAGTCACAAGATGATATCAGTGGTAAAATTGAAGTTGAGAGGGAAAAAGAAAATTCGAATCCTGTGAGAGCAAGCAGTAACACCTCAGAAAGTACACAGAAGAAAGAGACTGAAAAAAAATCTATTGAAGAATTACCCAAACCTGAAGTGCAAGAGCCTGTTAAGCGTTTTGTTCCACCTTCTATACAGCTGTCCACTTGGAGTGAGCGACCAAAACGTCAAGTTAGCATCAAATCGGATCGAGATTACTGGGTTGGAGTTGGAGCAGCTGCCTTACGAACCACTCAACGCTCCATAGATGTAGTGGATAGTTCTGATCAAAAAACTCTTTCTCACAGTCAAACTATTAGTTCTACTGTTGAAGAACAAAAGAATACTGCTCCAACATCTGGGACAACAGTTCAAAGATTATCAAGACAGTACATTGTTCACACGACGCCTTCAGGATTTAGGCGTCCTGCAGAGCAAACTGCTGTTGAAAATGGTGTTGTTACTGCACCATCTCTTGGAAAACCTCAGTTAAACAAGACATCACCACCTGCTGAACCTAAAATTGCTAAATCTCAAAAATTGGTCAGTTCAGTTTCAACTGGAGCATTGCCAGACAGATTTGAAAGGGCGAGAGAGGGCTTGCACCACCTTTCATCTCTTCCAGAAACACAATCAATTGAAGTCCCAGTTACTTCAAAAAGTGATCCCTCACGAGTTCCCATTGTTAGAGCAGTTGAACTTAAGAAGACTGTGTCTTCTGACTTCAGGAAGCCTTTGATACGCCAAAATGCAACTGCTACTTCTCCAAATAGTAGTGTTGTGTATTTTTCATCAGGCCCTGTTGCAACAAGCTCAGTAACTGCCAATGGAAGCTCTGTGAATATAAGTTCGGTAAAGCCATCACCACCTGTCAAGAAATTTACATCTGTTGTTGATATCAGTGGACCTTCAAATGAGAAGATTGTGAGTGGCTCCTCAGAGACCCAACCTCTGTCAACGATTAAGCCAAGTGTCCATGTTAATGGGTTCTCTTCGCACTCTGAGCCAAAGAAAAATTTGCCAATGCCTGTTGTCAAGGGCTTCAAACTTGCTCAAGGTGTGGTGAATCGTCAGTTGTCAGCCCCTGCGGCCACTCCTGCACCACCCACCCCTGCCCCCGTCCCTGTGCCACCCCCTGCTCCAGTCATGCCCGTGCTCAAAAAGGTACCACGACCGTCCTCTCTGCCTCCCCGTGTGCAGGACCCACGTGACCAGTTATTGGATGCTATCCGCAACTTTGGAGGTCGAACCAAACTCCGACCGGTAAGTGTTTTTGTTCGACTTAATTAATGCGTTGAGTCCCACATGACCATGCATGTGGTCATTCTTAGCATGTGATTCTCTGGGATTCAACGTCGTGTTCTGCTACTACATTGAGGGAAATTGTTAGTGCTAAAGCTTTTCTTCATATATTGTTTGCAGACTACCTGAAAACAACAGATGGACTGAGTCAGTATGCTTTTTCTGCCTGTCAAGAGATGGTGTCTCATTGAAGTCATAAGTCAGAACTATGTAGTCTAATTTTGTAGAATAGTGTATGTAGTATTTAACAATTATGTACAGGTTGAAAAATATACATGAATATTTGTGTAAAAAAATGTATGCATGTGCAGTATAAAATGTTACATTTCTGTTAAATTTATTCTAATTGTATGTAGTGTAAATACTAAGATATACCTGCCTTCCTCTGCTCAATTATCGTTACTGTAATTCACAACGAAAGGGTGTAGTGCCGTAATTTATATAGTGCAATATCTAATATCAATTAGTTAAAATCTAGTGAGGTGTCTTCCCTCAGTCAGTCATTTAGATGCATATTGAGCTGAATAGTAGTTTCTTTGGAGTGTGTGCCAGTTTGGCCTGGGTTTTCAGGGTAATTCATGAAAGCTGATAAGATTTTGAATGAGCTACATTCATAGAACTGTTGATGTGATGTCCTCAGTTTATGTAATCATGAAATTCATTGTAAGACCAAGTGTACCTACCACTAATAAATAGGGTAATGTTAAATTTTTATTACCTTCTGCCAACAAAATACAAAATCATCAAAGAAAATACAAATTAGAACAAGAATAAAAATAATAATAATATATCACAGACTATGTTTGTCCACAATCATCAACCAGACTTGCAGATGTAAGGATGGATTTCAAACGGTGAATAAGCACTCTACACATCTCAACTGTAGGGTGCCTTTTCCCTTCCTGCCAAAACGTGCAGCAGCTGTGGCTACATTCACCAAAAATTAAATTATGACTCTTAAGTAAATCTTTACTGATTTTCCTGAAAATGCCTTCTTTAACAATTTTAAAACTATTATCACAGATTTTCTCAGAACTTTCACCCTTAAAGGATATTTCTTGCCAATATTTATGATTATTTGAACAACACAATAATATTTTGAGTACTGTTAAGCAGTTCCATGACAAACCACCTTTAGATAAATATAATTGAGTGATAAGTCCATGCCTTTCACAAAATTTACGTTTATCATATTCGTTTGGTATTGTAATACCGGTTTCGCTAAAAACCTCCTTCAACTGATTGAAATCTATGGGAATGGTATCATGGACATTTCTAGGCAATACAAAACCATACTCAAGAAAAAGTTTCGTGTTGGAGTGAGGCCCATAGTTGATGAAAACTTCATTGAACTTTTTAACAGGCTGAAGAGTAACTATTTCATAGCAATTATTATTTTTATTTAGACCCACTTTGACCTCAACAGCATCACTGTGGTTGAACATATCCAAATAAGGAGCTAGAGCAAGACAATTTCTATCTCTTAATGGTATAGGATGTGAGGGGACATTTTCTGGGTCAATAAAGACAGCCCTTGTATTAACACAACACCACGCCCAAAGAAAATCATCCCAAACAAATATATCTAGAGCTGAAAGTTGGCAATGATTGCAGACATAGTCCTTAAAGGAAGGGATCAAATGCATGAAACAGCTTTGAACTAACTCAATACTATTTAAAGCCTGCTCCTGAAGAAACCATGGGAAGCTATTGATATGAGATTTATCAAGACAGTGGGGAATCGAAAATGACTTCGGAAGAGTTTCTAGATAGTTTGCCCAGATTGAGGTATTCCCCAAGTGCTTCTCCCACAGAAGAAAACATGCCAAAATCTAGAAAAAAAGAGATATGATCATTAAAATTTGTTTTTCAAGTCCCAGTGTAGTGATAGAACTCATATTCACCTCTTGACATAGAAAATTGTTAGGTGTAAGAGTAACACGACTGAAGGCACAGCCAACAGGTGATTCAACAACAGTTGCGGTGGTTATTAAAAGTGATCTGGGAATGCTCACTAATACGTCTCCTAAGGGCAGTGAAAGTAAAATAAGTTTTACTGAAGCACATTGATTCAGACTGGTTGAAAAGGAAATGTACATTACCCTGTTCAATGTTACATCTTGCCATCAGACCACGTCCTGTGTCCTTAAATTTCGCCAAGCATAAAGAAGTAGTTTGCTTCCATCCTCGTTTGGACATCCACTGAGTTAGATTAACAAAACTGGGATCTGAACTTAAAACGACATTTTTTCTACTTTTTCTTTTTCTGAGACGAAAAGTTCTACCCATAATCTCAGTTTTATAATAAATTGTATGTACAAATTGCCAGGTTAAGTCTAGCAGACAAGTATGCACATTGCATGTAGATAATAAAACTTCGAAGTGACGACAGCCCAACTATTGAGAGAATTAGTGATGTGGAAAAATAAGATTGAAGTTCATTGTATTCTTTTCATGCCGAGAACATTTAACAAACATTAAAGAGAATAGAACACAACACATGTCAAAACCAAAACAAGCCCAACAGACCACCCATACGGGCTACAGATTTTTCATCACCCAACAAATGAAAAACGTCGACGACGCTTGATTTTCTCCAAAATCCGTAATTTTGTTTCAAGATTTTCAGATGTCAAAAGGTAGTGTTTCAATGAAATGAGTCAATTACTTGTGATACGAGTGCTTCGCCAAATTGCTAAATTTTTCCCTTAATACCGTTTCACAACCAGGGAATTACCAAAATATTTCTATGGTGTTGTTCGATCTGTTATACCTGTATGTTATGTTATGCGTCCTATCTTCATCCCGGCACAATTCATATATTTGATTGCGTTCTCAGTTTGGAAGGAATGCATAATCAGTTACAATAAGCACGCAAAACAAATACCAAGCTAGGCTTTTAGCAGATTGTCTACAGTAAATTGTCGACATTGTCAAGAATTCCAACTGATAAGCACCTATGTTGTCCCTTAAGGTTATGTTATTGTAGATAGGGTGCGAGGGGTATACCTATTAGTCCATAATTACTAAAAATTCAATTTGTTTACACCACCCCGGTAAGCTATAGCTGCTTAAAATAGTGCTAGGGTCTTTTGTGCTGATACATTCAGTCGATTTACATTCTCTTCTAGCCTCTCTACTAAGAATTGGCTTGAACTCAGTAGTGGTTTACCAAAGATGAATTTAAAATGAACAAAATTGAACAGTACAAATCCACCAATTTGTTGGCAAATTTTCTTGTATCTCTGAAGTTTTACACCTTATCATTTTTATTTACATAGTCAATATGCTTTAAGATTAAGAAGCTATTAACCTGTGTCTGATTTGGAGGGAAGTGGATACATTTTCAGTAGTGCACAATTTTTATTTGTTTCAGATTTTAATGAGATATGGCTCCTATGCGGAAAGATGTCCTGGACAAAGCAGCATGGTCATGGGTGGAATCTACTGATCCATCATGTGTAACAGATGAACATGTCTTAAAAGCCTATCGCATTCAATTGACTGAGTGTCGACCTGGAACATGCAGGTGTGTAATTAGTTTGTTTGCTATGTTGTCCTCCTACTTTGTTTCGTATTTATAAATTATTTTTCTCTCTTTAGACGCAACTGTAGGGGCAGTCCCCGATGTTTATCGAGTTTAGGTGAACAACGATGGATCACAGAACCTAGTGAAGAAACTGTTTCTAACTATGTTGATGACCCCAACATTGATCGGAGGGATTCAGGTTCTTTCATTGGGCTTAAAAACTTGGGTGCTACTTGTTATGTTAATAGTCTACTGCAGCTATGGTTTCATAATTTGCAATTTAGGTACTGTAATATGCCGTTTTCATCTTAATAATTCATGTTTTGTCTCATCAATATTTCTAAATTTACTCATCTCTATTCCACCTTCAGGAAAGCCATTTATGAATGGAATCCTCTAGAGGATCCTGATGAAAAGCAAAGCCTTGATAATGATGAATCCAAGTTTCCTATCACGCATGTTGGGCACTTGCAAGTCTTGTTTGCTAATTTACAATTCAGTGTCCGAAGGTATATAGATCCCTCTGACTTTGTACATTCTTTAGGACTTGATGTTGGACAGCAACAAGATGCACAGGTATACCATAATTAGCCAACCTAATGAAAGCACTTATGTTTGTCATGCAATTATATTATTTTTCTGACCTACTCTACAGGAATTCTCAAAACTATATATATCTATGCTTGAAGACCGTTTGACTACTCAAACCAAACCTTCTGTTCATGACATGATTAGCAAAAATTTTAGGGGTGAATATTTGTATGTTACAAAATGTTCCAAATGCCAAGAAGAATCAAGAAGACCATCAACATTTTATGAATTAGATCTGAATATTCAAGGCCATAGAACATTGTGTGATTCTTTGGCTGAATTTCTGCATGAGGAGAAGCTTGAGGGCGCTAACAGGTATCATTGTGCTGTGTGTGGTGATAAACAAGATGCTGCCAGATGTATTCGCCTGAAATCTCTTCCCCCTGTTCTTCACCTTCAACTCCTGAGATTTGTTTATGACAGGTATACTCCTTGGCTTTTCAAGATAATATCTATCTATCCATTAAGGATCTATCTATAATTTCTAATCGGGATAATTTTGTATTTTCCTTTATTTTAGGAGTAAAGGTCACAAGAAAAAACTGAATTCTGTCATCCAGTTTCCAGAAACACTTGATATGTCAGAATACACAGGTCTCCCACCTGGTTCTAAGGTATATAATGTCAGTGCTGTTCTTCTTCACATGGGGTCAAGTGCATATAGTGGTCACTACATAGGTATGTAATTAAATTGTATTTTAGTTTTGTGTGTATTCTATAAAAAAAAAGTGATTTTGTCTCATTCTTATTTTTAATCTCTTGGCTCTTTTGAATCAGCACATATTAAGGACAGTTCCACTGGCAACTGGCATAAATATAATGATGAAAGTGTGGAGAAGATGGAAGGAAAGAAATTGACATTAGGCTCTGAGGAAGATGGTGCTGAAAGTAAGTCTTTTGAATCAGGATTTTCCCATTGTTTTTATCTGTCTAAATGAAATGTCTTAAAAAAGCATATTCTTCCTTAGCTACACCAGCAAAAGTTAAAGGTCGTGGCCAGAAAAATATGAAGGGGTTCATTAACTCTAAGAATGCATACATGTTGGTTTATACTCTTGCGACAGAGAATAATGATGGGAATATCCTTGGAAGTCCTGGTGTATCGAATTGTTCAATTAATCCCAAAGCGAATGGGGTTGAAAGATGTGGTATTAGTAGCAATGCCTTAGAAGCTGAAATGATTGCATGGGGCCTTGAGAAACGTCTTGTAGATAAAGTCAATGAACAAAATAGAAAATTTGAAGAATGGACTACTGAAGAAACAACAAAAAGGGTAACTGTTTCAAAAGTTCTCCTTCTAAATACATTGATTTTCTTTTACTTCTATTTACGAATTGTTTGAATGTACTAAAATCTGCTATTTCTAACCTGATTTTTCCTCCCAGGAAACATATAAAGTGCAAACACAGTTCCATCGCAATGAAATGTTGGACCTCTGCAGTCAATTATGTGTTGGTCCCAAAGTATTGGATGGATTTGATTTTGTGTCTACTGACTGGCTTAGTAAGTGCTTACATGATGGCATGGGTGATGAGAGTAAAACACCAGCCATTGACAATACTAATGAAATATGCCCTCATGGAGGTGTTGATCCATCAAGGGTCACAAATATGAAAATCATCAGTATTGAAGCTGTAAGTTTAGAAAATGAATAAATATTGGATAGTGAACTAAATATTACTTGATAGTGTTTTTGTGTTATGTTGTGTTTTGAATTCTCATGCTATAATTCTATCTATCTTTTTATTCTTTCTCAGGCAGAAGCTTTGTACAAACGGTTTGGAGGAGGCCCTAGGGTACAAGGTCCCCAAGCTCTTTGCTTTGAGTGTGTGAAAAACAAATGTCATGAGCTGCGTTTGAGGAGCAAAATAACTTCTGACGGGAAAGAAATAACAAATCTCTTGAAGTATCGCATGGATGAGTATGTTTAATTTTGACTTTCTTGCCCCTAATCTAATTTTATATAGTGTAATATTTACTAATATATTTTTGTGATGTATTTTGTTTTGTTTTTATCTGTTTTGTGATGTATTTTGTTTTGTTTTTATCAGGACTGAGCGTGGCTATTGGGTTGGGAAAAGTACTCTTAAAAGTTGGAAAAGTATTGTTTTAAGAAAACTCAGACCAAACTCAAACACTGAAGGTACATAGTTTTATTTGTTGGACAAAATAAAAACTTATATGATTTTCACTCATACTATGATTTTTGAAATAATTTCCAGGGAAAGAAGAACAATATAACAAAGAAGATAATGAAAGATATGAAAATGATGACCATGTTGGCAGTACAAGTGGAGATTCAAAGAATTTCCAGTCTGAGGATGAAGAAACTGATGAGAATGAAGTAGCTACTAGTACCATGCATAATTCAAGGAAACGTTCTAAGCCACCATCAGCCAAGGACAGAACTATATCAAAGAAACGCTTACATCTTCCTGATTCAACATCTCAAAATGGGAACTCTCAAGAAAATGTTATTTCATCCTCTTATCAGAATGGATTGGATATTGTATCCGAAGAAATGAGGATACCACCCGGTTGTCAGGATAAGAGGGAAGCGTGCTCCTCCTCTTACAATGATGAACCAAATCCGGATGGGAATTCGTCTCCTTCTGAGGACACAAAGGACGATAGGAAAGAAGAGGAGTTTTCAGAAGAGTCTACTCAGACTTTGGAATTTAATAATGATGCAATGTGTGTGCATGGTAAGAAAATCACCAATCTAAATTAATTTTCCTTGTCTGTTTATCACCTCTTTCATATTTTGTTTTCACTATGAAAATATTCTGTCTGTAGGGAATTTAAATGTTGATCCTGCAAGTAGGAGGCTGGTTCCTCCTCGAATATGGACAATCTTTTTAAGCTATTTCCCTGCTGCTAAAGAATTTCCTCGTAATTCCCAAGTGTGTCCAGCATGCCAGGTAGTTATCAAAGTCAGCTTTGGATGTATGGCAGAATCTACTATTGTACCCAACAGTCTCCCAAATATCTGTGATTTTTTATTTTATGCTAACAGGAAAAAGAATTTGAAGGGCAAATGGTGAAGGATACCCATCGCAAGGTAGCCCAGGCTCAGAAAGAGGCGCTTGCTGACCTTTACTTAAACAAAAATCGACCCAACCTTGACCCAGCATCTAGGAAAACAAGAGCAGTCAATGGCACAATATGTCCAGTTGAAGGAAAGGAGCATTTCTTCGTAGTGTCGCAAGAGTTTGTTGATAGATGGCGAAATTTCATTGGGTGAGTACTACTGTTGTGCTTCACTCTTACACCTGAAAAGAAAGAGAAAGGGGTAAACAGTTTAGAATCTAAGTGGACAGTTCCTTAATAATTTCCTTGAGGCTGTGCATCTTTGGGGTTGGAAATATTAGCAAAGTGTGACAACAAAGTGTTTCCGCTGTAAGGAACATGTTTTGCATCAGTTTTGAATCGTTTCATTAGACTGGCTGAAACAATTGAATAATTTAATTATTATTTAGAGTTTTCCAAAATATTAGACAAATTCTTGTTACATTTAAAACATACTTTAAGTATCTTATCCCATGGCAATAATCCTAAGTTCTCCAACGTCCTTCATTTTTTTGTACTAAACAAAACAAGAAAATGAGATTTTCAAAAGTTTGAGAACGTTTTGCTACCAACAGTCGACGGATTGTGAGGTGTTATAAATCATGACGCGCTGCCGGGGGGGCCAGTGCTATTGCAATCATAAGTTTCACTCACTCAGGTGGAGTGAGTGACCGGTCCCCTCTCCCCGTCACAGAGACACACACACTGTGTCCTCTCGGAAGTAGCCCACCGTCGTCGTCCCATCCCGCCCCACACCACCCAATGGGGTGAGTTATGAGTCGCTCGCCTAAAAGCGCGGCCCCGACGGCATGCCTCCTGCCCTTCCACTATTCCGAGTGGAGATCGCGCCACATAAATCAATTGGTGCGCGCGGCAGTGCCCCCCCCCCCCCCCCCCCCCCCCCCCCCCCCCCCCCCCCCCCCCCCCCCAAAAAAAAATGGGGGCCCCGCGGCGGCCCCCCCCCCCCCCCCCCGGCGTCCTCCAGGCCCCTCCAGGCGATCTCCAGGCATCCAGTAGCCTCCGTGCCCTGTGCGCGCGTCTGTGGCTGCGCCTTATGGAGGAGGAGGAGGAACAGCATGGAGGAGGGGCTTTTTGTGGCTTGTGTTTTATGGCAAATGTGACGCATTTCCTTTCTCGGAGGGAAAGGGAAGAGGTGAGGGGCAGATGAGAGGGGGCACGGATGAAGCTGAGAGAGCGCGCGACTTTTCCTCACTCCTCCTCACGGACGTCTCATCTCATTCCCGTCCTATCCCATCCCATTGGTCGCTGCTCCCGTGCGGCCCTCTGAAGCCGTCTGTCGGCATCCTCAGGATCGCGGCGTGTGAACGCCGTACGTCCCTCTCTGCTGCTCTTGATGTGTCAGGCGGTATGATTTAGTCTTCGACTCGGGCACGATTCGGTCGGACGCAGCAGCGGCGGCAAAGGTGCGCGCCAGCGATATGGGAGCGCGCCGTCGGTGTCCGCCTGCGCCGCGAGGGTCTTTGGGGGAGGAGGGTGGGGCGAGGCGCCTCCTCCGTCGTGAGGCTGCCATGCCGCCAGGAGGACGAGCCCACGCCACGCTGCGCAGGGATTAGAGGCACTTGGCCATTCCCACTGGTCTGATAAGCGCTCCGTGCCTGGCCCGGATTAGCGGGGCTCGTGCATGTTGAATGGATCTGCCTGGTGTGCGATTACTTGATCCGGGCGAGGACCGCCGGACCAGGCCCGAAAGGGTTGCGGAGGCCTTGGCAGCAGGACACTTCCACCACGGCGGCGGAGGCGGAGGCGCGTGCATGTGTATTGTGTATGTGTGTGTGAGGAGGGTCGCTGCACTCGCGTTGTTGTGGCTTCAAGGTGGCCAAACTGCAGACAAACAGTAACCGGTAGTGGCGGGGGGCTACTACTGGGTGCCGGTGCGCGTGCTGCGCAGCAGGGCCAGCCAACTCCTGAAAAAAATAAAAAATAAAGGGTGGTGGCAGGTGTTCTGGTGCCCCACGCGGGGCCGCTGCTGCCGTGCTGTGGTGGCCAGCAGCCTGGTGCGCACAGCGCCTGGAGCATCTGGGCCTCTGTGGGTGTTTTTTTTCTTCTTTCGCTTTTCTGTTCCATCCTCTTTTGTCCACGCGGCGGGTTTGTTTCCTTCGGTTTCCTCCTCCGGGAGCGCAGGGGCAAGGAGAGCATCGGGAGATATTCTGACGGTCGAGAGCAAAGGCTACCAGGGCTGCATACTCAACACACGGACCTCCCCCCTCCCCTCGGGTCGCGGTCGGGGTTGACCTCCGCGCTGATGTCTGCCCTCACGCCGCCGCCCTCTCTCCTCGGGGGTCTTTTTAAATTTGCAGTCGTTAACTCGGCGGCCTCGCTGCTGCCGTGTCCTCCCCCTTTCTCTCTCCCTCCTTTTTTTTAATCAGATTGTGTTCAAAGTAGCTGACGACCCCATGTGAGTCATTTAGGCCCTGCTCGGCCGTCGTGTGTACACATTGTGCAGAGCGCACCAGCTGCCGGGATGGGGTCAGTCCCGCCCGTCCGTTCCGTCCGGGCCGTCCAGGCCGGCTGGCAGGAGGACGGGGCGGGACGGGGTCCCCAAGTGGACGTTTACGACTGGGGCGAGCTTTAATGAGGACGTGGGAAGTGACGTGGAGCTTTGCAGCAGCGGGGGCGGCGCGGGCGCCGGGCCGGGCCCGGGGGCCGCGGGGCTGCGGTGGCCATGTAAGTAATGTCGGCGGGACTGGTCGTCGACGGCCACGTTGGCCAGGGCGGCGGCGGCGGCGGTCGGAAGGGGCCGCCGTCGTCAAACGCCTTCCGCGCCCCGGCGTTCGGCGGGCAACACGCACACGGGCGTCTTCCCGTGCTCAGTGCGTGCGGCCGCGGCCGCCGCTGCCTCCGCCACGACAATGACAGGGCAACATGCCGTCCTGCCCCCCTTCCTTCCTCCTCCCCCCGCAACCCTTGCTAATGGCGAGGCGCCCCGCCCTCCGAGCAGCAGGGATGGAGCAGCAGAACGACGGGGAGGAGGAGGAGGAGGAGGGGGTCTTGGCCTTATCGCGGAGCTAGGCCGCCGCGCGCGGCGCCGAGCCATCGCACATGAGAAATAGAGGCGCCCCCTCCCTTACCCGCTACTACCCCGCCCCACCCTGCCCCGCCCGGTTCCCACAGCCAGCAGTACGTAGTGGCGGCGGCAGCAGTCCTGCTCCTCCGGGCCGCGGCGGGGGCGGAGGGCAGGGGCTTGGGCAGGGCGCATCCATCTCAGATCGTTGGCGGTGGCGGTCAGGTCATTAGCCGCGGTCCCTCTCCTGGGGGCCGCCCCCGCCCGCCCCCGAGGCCCTCTCCAGCAGCCCTCCTCACCTAAAGGCCTCGCTGTCAGAGGTTCAAGTGCGCCGCTGCTTCTGCCGCTGCTGCTGCTTGATGCCACCGTTCGAAAATGTGTACTTCCTTTCTCTTCGGTCCCTGCTGCCTCGCGCTCCGCGCCGCTCCTCTTCGCCGGGAGCGCAGGGGCGGTGACAGTTTTACGAGTTGTTCCGCCCCTGCGGAGCGGAACGCATGCATTTGCAGGTGCAGCGGGCCGGCGAGAGAGATAGGCAGCCTGCAGATTGTGTTGCGAAAGGGAGAGAGAGATAGTGCTTTGATGCACTGCACTGCACTCCCCCCCCCCCTCTCTCTCCCTCTTACTCCCCCAACTCGCGCACCCGGCCCGGCCAGCAGTGACCACACTGGGTAGCGCTTTTGAGATGCACGCGCCTCTCTGCACGCGGCACACGTCTCGTTCCATAGAAGGGCGCAACTCGCTATATACGCACGCAGACCGGCGTATCTTTTCTCGCTCTGCGCCACCACCTGCCCCGCCGGCCCTGATGGTGCCCCACCGCCCCGCC